TAAAGCGCCTTAATATATTTATAAAATATACTGCACATAATTACTGCGCGTAATTATAATAAATTCCCAATTTCGAACGAAAACTTCTTATTTTTGCTTTCTTATTCTTTAATCATAAAAATATATTAGAAATGGAAAATTATGAAATATGTGATATTATTCCATCCCAAAAAGAAAATAATAAAATAAATGTTCGAGGCTATTTAATGGTAAAAGAACAAACACGAAAGGATATATATTATTGGTGTTGTGAGAAAAGAAAACTAAATAATTGTAAAGGTCGTGCAGTAATAACTTTTCATAATAGGTCCCATTATCTTAAAAAATTTGTTCCACTCATCCCAGCCTAGTAATGCAGAAGTTGCAAAAAATATCAGTCAAATCAAGCAGAAAGCTCGTATAACAAGAGATAAACCTGTACAAATCATTCAAGATATTACTGTTAATATATCACAAGAGTATTATCCCTACATGCCATCTTCTAATGCTCTTCGTTCAATAATTAAACGTGTCAAAAGAGCAGAAATGCCTGCTGAACCACAAACCATTGAAGAAGTTAATATTCCAGATTCACTTCGTTTAACATTAAATGGCGATACTTTCTTAATAAGGGACTGTGTAATTGGTAATGATCGAATTTTGCTATTTGCTACAAAAGCAAATATTCAACGCTTATCTCAGGCTTTATTTTAGCTGATGGATGGTACTTTCAAAACTGTTCCAACAGTATTTCATCAATTATATACCATTCATTGGTAGTGAAAATTCAAGAATTCTTCCTCTTGTTTACTCATTAATAACAAGTAAATCAGAAGAAATCTACAGAAGCTTATTCGAAAAATTAATTGATTTTACAGCAGAAAATGATTTTACCTTACAACCTTCAATCATTCTAACTGATTTCGAGTTAGCATCAATCAATGCATCCCATCATGTATTTCCTAATGTTGAAAACAAAGGGTGTTTTTTTCATTTAAGACAGTCTGGATGGTGAAAAATTCAATCATATGAACTTGCTACTAGATATGGTAATGATGAGCAATTTAGTTTAATGTTGCGGCATTTATTTGCACTGGCTTTTTTATCACCACAGGAAATTCCAGCAGCATTTGATATATTAAAACTTGAAATGCCTTCAGAAGCAAATGAAGTTGTTCAATGGTTTGAAGATAATTATGTTCATGGAAGGATACGTCGGCATCTTCGAAATGGAACAGTTATTTATTCAGCTCCTTTATTTCCACCACAATTGTGATCAGTATACAATTCAAATGAGATAGGAATTCCACGAACACAGAATAATGTTGAAGCTTGGCATTGGCGTTGGGAAATTTTAGTTGGACAAAGTCATGTAGGTGTTTATAGGATGATTGACGAGTTACAGAAGGAACAATAGCGTATAAACCTTCAAGTTGAAAGTATTATTCGTGGTGAACAACGACCAGCAAAAAAAACCTTAATTTCGAGGGAAACAAGAATAATGATGATAGCTGATGATAGAGAAAACTGCTCAGTAATGGATTATTTGCGAGGGATTGCTCATAATCTTGCAATATAGTTATAGTACCCCCGATCTTTCGCAATCACGTCGATCAATTACAAATTTTTTGATTTTTAATTAATTTTTCTTTGGCGCATAATACATTTTTTAATTTTTTTTTGTTTATGAGAATTATAATTAATAAAACATCATTTTAACCTGCTTTGCTAATAAAAAAAAATTAATAATATTAATAATTAATATCAATGTTTATTTTTATTTTATTTTATTTTAAATATATATTAACAGAAATAATAAATCACGAATTATAAAAATAAAACACTTGGTTAACTTTAAACTTTGAATATTATATAAAATAAATTTAATGTGTACATGTTATTATATATCTTAATCTTGACCCTTCTGCTGCATATGTTTTATAATAGGATCCTATTCGGTGTATAAAAAAAAAGAGTTCTATAACGAACTCTGACTCTAACAAACAAAAATGTTCCAGCCCGACAAGTTTATTATAAACAGCCAACTGTATATTTTCAGGATTTTAACCGATCGGAATTTTGACCTGTTGGGATTTTGACCTATTGGGATTTCATATCTGTCAGGATTTCGTATCTATTGGGATTTTGGACTTCAGGATTTTGAGTTTCAGGATTTCGGCCTGTCGGGATTTTGAGTTTTGGGATTTCGTAACATACCCTATTATTCTATTTCAAGATATGTCTAAAGCATACGATAGAGTAAATATTTATATACTTCAAAAAGCCATATCTCAGCTAAAAATTCCCATTAACTTCATTAATATTATCACAAATCTTTTTTTGAACAGAAAAATAGAGTTTATACATAACATGGCTTATCATCAGAATATGATATTTTAGTCAGAATTGACCAAAGTGAAATTATCTCCCCTATTTTATGGATTATTTACTATGACCTGTTATTATATAAAATCCAAAAATTGAACCTAAGATACAACTTGTCTCAAACTTGGTTTTCTGATCTTAATAATCCCACTCTAATAACAGATTTTGTTAATATTTCTGCTACTGCTTACATGGATGATACTACTTGAATCTCAAATGACATTTTTAACCTCAAATAGATTATTGATATAGCTGATACTTTCTATTAATTAAATGACATTCAAGTCAACTTAGAAAAATCTTTTGTAATTTTGACATTACCAAATCAGAATCATAATATTACTCTCAATCTACCTACTATCAGAAAATTGATCAGTGTTCCAATATATTACAGATCTGAATCGGTTAGATACCTAGAAGTTTAGATTAGTATTGACAATAACAAAAAATTCATCATCAATCAACTCAAATATATTATAGATAACTTTGTTCTTAAAATTAAATTTAAACCCATGACTGATAAAATGGTTTTATATTTAAATAACGCTGTTCTTATTCTGGGACTAGAATACACAATTAACTCTTCTTTCTAAAGCAGAGTGTAGCAGATTATATGTACTAATTAGATCTGTTATCAAACACAAATTTAAAATGAACAAATGTCTACCAAACAACGTATTTAGACATAATTTAACATATACTTATAGAGATTTCTATGATGTTCAAACGTAGGCAAAATATGATCACTTCACCAAACTGATCAACCAGAATAATCTCACAGCTATTACCTTCAGAATTCGTCTTAGACAAATTTAATTTCAATATCATTTACACGACAATCCACTCATCTTTTGGAACTTATCAAATCCTCTATCAAAGAACTCCAGTTTTTTAGAAGCTCTTTTAAATAATTTACAGCATTTAAACATTAATTTCACTCAGCTGACCAATGATTTATTCTGTATTAAAGGGGGTCAACTCCTTTGTCTAGTATTATTTTTATTAATAATCAGGATCTGAAAACCTTAATTACCTATCACATTTTGTTTTTTGAACAATTAATAGTTGGTAAAGGCCTTTATCTTATATCATACAACGACCTCAAACATAAGACCTTTGGATCTCTTTCTCAAATAAGCAAACTCCCAAATTGGTATCACAGGTTGCAACAGAAAGTTGTTGAAAATCCTATTTATACTAATTGACTATTACCACAATTTGCATCCAACATTTCGCATTTATCTGAGTTTGTTGTTTTCACTCCAAATCAGAATCAAAAAAGGATAAATTGGACTACTTTTTAGAACAACACTTATCAACAAATAATTATTAGACAATCAATTAAAGTCTTTGCTCAAGCACACTTTACTCTTTTTTATCATTTTAATAGATAGAATCTATTGCAAGACCCTGTTCTCCCTTAAAAAAGCAACATACTTATACAGCATGTTATGGTTGTCACCATAATTCTGATGATGATAAACTAGATTCCAAATTACCAAATACCTCAGATCTCAAGTATACCTTTATGTAAACTGTGGTTTGCTAAATATAATTGACGTAAATGGCTTAAAATGAATAAATACAAGATTAATATATTGAATTTATCTAACTAGAGCTTCTTTGTTTACATTTTCTGATCAATTTTTTTTCTTCATAATAAGCTTTACAACATTAATATCTCTTCACAACCAACTCTAGAATTCTCTAGAAATTTTTCTCATAATACAAATTTTCTAAAAAATTGATTGTTAATCATTTTATATATCAACTTCTATTACACCTTCAACAACAACTTTATCTAACACATTTAAATAACCCCAAATCTTAGAATTTTATACAGATGATTCTTATATATATAATTCTAATAATTTGTCTACTAATTTTAGTTTAGTATTAGCTTTTATTAAAAATGATAATTTAGAATTTTCTTTTTCATCTGCTATTATTTCCATTTGGTCTAATTCATCTCATGCTGAAATAATGGCTATCTTATTAGCCTTACTTTTGTCTCCTTCTTATTCTGATATTATAATTCATACAGATAGTCTCTCTTTAATTCAAACTTTTAAAACTATCAAAAAACACAACATCCTCAATTATTCTACTCTTCTTTTTAAAATCCCATTCTATATATATTAGTTTTATATCCTCTTTCTAATAGATATTAAACTATTACAAGTGAAATTTGTAAAAGTAAAAGATCACTCAGGAATTAAATAGAATGAATATGACGATACTTTAGCCAAAGAAGTCTTATTTGATACTTCACTAGAATTAAATCTTGAGGATGCCTCTCATATCAAATACCTTCCAAAATTTTAAAATCTTATAATTAATAAACCATTTCGATTCTTCATGAAAACAATCGCGATAACTCAAGGATTTATTGACTTCTTTTACTTAAAAAGAAACTTCAAATACATATATTTCTATATAAACTGGTTATGTACCTTTATGAACTTGAAAGGACATCAAGAATCAAATGTATTCACTTTTGATAACTCAAAACAACACAACAGAAGAATCAAATATTTAATAGAACAACTCCACACAGTAGAATTTTTAAAGTTTATACATAAACACATTTATCATGATTTATGGAAATGTTGTTACTATGCTCAAGCAAATGAAACTTTTGATCATATTTGGCTATATACTGCTAGCTTATCAATCATGACAGATATTATGGATTGTATCAAAAATTTCCTACTACATCAACTTATCACACTACATCTTACTCCTTCTACTTCATTAATTCACTATCTAAACACTGATGATCTTTAGACTATTACTTCTAAAAATGGCTCCTTAACCTTTATAGATTTAATCAAAGGCATTATTCTATTAAGCCTTTTCAATAATATTTAATGTATTACAAACTCACAAAAAATCACTTTTAATATTCTATCAAACACTACCATGTATCTCTATAACTGAACTCATTATAATATTTATCTCCCTAAATGTGAATTCATGATAGAAAAAGAACAAGCTTTACATATCGCTGATAAACAAAAATGAAAATACAATTGCTTTTTAATATTCACATATTAATTCCTCTTCTTTTTCCAACCAACCTATTTTTACAAATTGGATTGATTTAGTCAGACTATCTATAATTCATGGCAGAGATTAAACACTTTTCTTGGATCGGTAATAGCTAATTGTTTTAATTTTTTCTTTATTTTCAAACTTTCTTCTTTTAATAGATAGTTATGATAAAATTTATGTTTATACATTTGTTTTTGAACTAACAAGATAACCAGCTGGTTTAGAGAGACTTAGTCTTTTATAGGTTTTTAAATGTCTCTAGATAATAATTTTGTTTATGTTGAATCATATAGATAATACTTTAGTCTTTCTACTTTGTATTATTTGATTTCTTAAATTTAAATTTAATAAAATTATATTATCGGGTATGGTATGAAATCCCGAAACTTAAAATCCCGACAGGCAAAAATTTTGAAACTCAAAATCCTTAAGTCCAAAATCCTGACAGGTACGAAATCCCGACAGATACGAAATCCCGACAGGTCAAAATTCCGATCGGTTAAAATCCTAAAAATATACAATTGGCTATTTATAATGAACTTGTCAGGCTGGAACATTTTTGTTTGTTAGAGCTAGAGTTCATTATAGAACTCTTTTTTTATATACACCGAACAGGACCCTATTATAAAATATGTGCAGCAGAAGGGTCAAGATTAAGATATATGATGGCATGTACACATTAAATTTATTTCATATAATATTCAAAGTTTAAAGTTAGCCAAGTATTTTGTTTTTATAATTCGTGATTTATTATTTCTATTAATGTATATTTAAAATAAAATAAAATAAAAATAAACATTGATATTAATTATTAATATTATTAATTTTTTTATTAGCAAAGCAGGTTAAAAGGATGTTTTATTAATTATAATTCTCATAAACAAAAAAAAATTCAAAAATGTATTATACGTCAAAGAAAAATTAATTAAAAATCAAAAAATTTGTAATCGATCGATGTGATTGTGAAAGATCAGGGGTACTATAACTATATTGCAAGATTATGAGCAATCCCTCGCAAAAAATCCATTACTGAACGGTTTTCTCTATCATCAGCTATCATCATTATTCTTGTTTCCCTCAAAATTAAGGTTTTTTTTTTGCTGGTCATTGTTTACCACGAATAATACTTTCAACTTGAAG